TTGCAGTGTCTTACATACCAGTATGGTACGCACATCATGTTCATAGATGCGAACGCACGTGTCGGGGACATATCATCAGATGTTGTAGGGTCGGAGAGCTGTCGACAACCGGAGGACACATCAAGTGCTGTATTCCATGCTTATCTTCTTGCTGCGCAGCTGTTTGCTTCCAACGCGCTTGTCCCGTCCAAGACTGACGGTGTGACGTGGACTTCGCCGAAAGGTGGACAGCTGCATCGCATTGATTATATTGTCCCAATTGAATTCTCCATGCAGACCGTAAAGGCTAACGCCACCCTCATTGACCTGGACGCTGGCCTAGAGTTCCAGGACCACAGGCCACTAGCCAGGCCAACTCCAAAAAGCAGGTCTCCAAGCTAGTCGATGGCAAGGATGCCCCAAGGACCCCCGCAAGGCCAAGTATTTTCGGTAACAACTCCAGCAGGTTCCTATCATGCCAGCGCACATCGATGTCAACGAGCATTTAGCGCAGATCATGAGACACATAATGCAGGCTGCAGCAGTGGCCTTCTCCAAGCAAACAAAGGTCCCGATCGTGCCCTATGTGGCCCCAGAGGTGCTCTCTGCCATGCATTTCCGACGCCATGTCGGGCAAGCGATCCGTGCTTGGAATCGTCAGGATGCTTCGCATATCCAGGGCCTAGTACTGGCAATTTTCGAAGCGGCGATACCGGTAGACAGCCAAGACCTTCGATGGGATACCTATGTCGCGGACCTCCGGGAATGCGTGCAGAAATGCCAGCACGGAGTTGGCTCCATAAGTCAGATCCCGCAGGCGGTCATGGATTTGCTGGACCGCACCAAGCCCGTCATCCGCAGCCTGCTCAGGGCATCCAACAAGACACTTCTCGAAAGCTTCGCAAAGGAGCTCAGGAATGCCACGGACTTGCACGAATGTAGGTTGCGCTGGGGCATCATGGGACGGCTGATGAAGTTCTGCGGATATCGCAAGAAGGCTACGCCGAGAGGCCTTGGCGATCGGCTTGATATGCAGGGGGCCCCAGTTCAATCTGGGCCCAGGCAGGGGCTCCGCATGGCCCTCACTACATACTTCGCGTCGCTTGAGAAGGGTGAGGTCATTGAATGGGGTGATCTTTGCAAGCGGTATAAGAAAACGAATTGGCCTCCACCTGCATGCGCTCAATCTTCCAACAACATGGTGATGACCAGACGAGAGCTCCTGTACCTGATCCGCAGCGCCGCTACCAACAAAGCAACGGGACATGATCCTATATCGATGGATCTACTACGCCTCGCAGCAGACGAGGCCACGGACATTCCATTGCCGATCTATTCCCAAATGCATGTGCAAAAAAGAAATCCGCATGCATTCGAATGAGGATGGCAGGTGGATTTATTCAAAAGTGGGTTGAGTGTGTCGATCACGAGTTACAGAGGTAGCATGCTGGGTGTACATCTGGCCAAGACACATCATAAGTTCTTACGGCCCCGTCTTGTACCAGCATCGCAAGAACTGATCAATTCATATCAGATGGGAGGGTTGGCCAAGAGAGGAACCGACATTGCAGCCAACATCGTATGCGCAATTGCACAAGTGACGAAAGCTAGGAAACATGCATTGATCATGTTGTTCACGGGCCCACGGTCGGCCTTCTACTCAGTGGTCAAAGCATTTCTCTCGCGGCACGCACAGCGCGCGGAGGAACTTAGCGATGTATTGGATGACATGCAGATTCCTGTTGCCCTCGTGCCAATCTGTAATCAACTCGTGGCCATGCCTGGACTACTGGACAACCTTTCTAACCAGCACCTCATTGCCTCAACAGTGGACACGATGAACAATGCGTGGTTCCAAGTTCAGGGCGCCGAGCAAATTGTTCAGCCAAACGGCGGCGCCAGACCAGGCATGCCACTAGCCGACTACCTGTTCGATGTTGCTTTCTCACCGTTGCAGATCAGCATCAACAAACGCCTGCATGATATCAATCTACCTCCTACCCGGTGCGCGTCTGGCATGCATCCGCAAGCCGCTCGGCCAACGGCGCCCCCGAGCGAGAGCACCGTGCGTGGCCCATGGTGCGTTGATGACATCGTCACCCTGGCAGAGATCGAGAGTGCCTTGCAGTGGCAGAATGCGGCCTCGAGGATGGCTGCGATTGTTCATGAAGAAGCAACGGCGCGGGGATTCTTGGTCAACTACAAGCCTGGTACATCCGAACTCATGGTGCTCTTCTCGGGTGTAGGCTCCAAGCAGGCAGCGCAGCAGTCCGCGGGGCATCTCCAAGGTGGGTTCCCCATAGGCAAGTTCGGGGCCAACTTGGCGTTAACGACGAAGTGCACGTACTGAGGAAGTCACATCGAGCAGGGCCTCTCGATGGGCCCCGAGATCTCCCGCGCGCACCGCCAGTTGCAGCAGCCGCTTGGGGTTCTAAAGAAGACAGTCTTCAACGACAGGTATTAGAGGAGGAGTATAAGGTAACTTGCGTCCACAAGCTCTGCACGTCGCACTTATTGTACAAATCATGCATGTGGGGAGCGTTGGCTCGGAAGCAGCAGGTGCTACTGCAGAACCATTTTTCGTGCCCTTTCGTGCTGCCGCGGGTCCCCGATACGACGGCACCTCGGAACATAATGTATCAGTACACCGGTTGATGTTACATGTCCAGCAAGGCCCCGTTGCGCGAGCGATTCAACTGAGGGGACTGCGCCTGTTGTAACGCGTGTTGCTCGTTGCCCCATCCGCCGTGCTGGCGCTGCTTGGTGAAGCAGCGACCGTGCAGGGAACGTGGGCAACCCTGGTGTTTAATGATCTTGAATGGATAGCTGCAAGCGTGAACGTGCCGAATGTATCACGACCATATGGGCCCCCGTCCTGGTGGATTCAGCTAGTAAAGGTAATGGGAGCTCGAGCTTGGAAACGGATTTGTCGTCAAGCTGAGCGCATGGCTTTCGCCGCAGACGTGCGCGATGCATTTTGCAGGCATGGAAGGGTGAGTTTCCCGCCGCGTGTATATTGCATGGCCAGGGCCCCCCCTTCTTCGTCGCCCCCCCTCCCTCCCCCATGGCCTGGCCGTGCGTTGAATGTGGTGCTGCCATGCGTGCAACGCCTCTTGGGCAATGCATCGCACTAAGTATCACCCCTCCTTGGGCCCCGCAAGATGCGTTGCTGCAGGTTCACAATGTCAGTCGTTTATGAAAGATTTCCACACTAGATTGAGGTTGCTCAAACATCTGAGGCACGGATCACGTTTCTGTCTATCGGATATGCTTGCAGTAGCACGCCCACTCAACAAAGAGCAAGCAAACGCTCTCAACGCAGAGGATACGGAATTGTCTAAATCGCTGCGCCGACAAGGCATTTATGATGAGAAAGCTACACTTCCGCCTCGTCGCATAGTTGGACCCAGCTTGGAAGGTGCCGCGGCGTCCTTGGGCAGTGACCCCTTGGTCGCCATGGGTTGTGCCCCCGTTCCCCAGGAAGTGGTTCCAGCTACTCGCGTGCCCGTGCCCATAGGACAAGACACACCTGCGAATATTGTGCTGCACATATCCTCGGCAACGAGATGCGAGGGACACTTTCTGTGGCTAGTCGAGGCGCGTGCACATGCTAGGAGTTTCCAGTTGTGTGTTCTGCACATCACGTATGCGCACCTTGCATGGCAGAATGATCGTGCACTGCTCTTGCGTCTGATTTGTGCTGATGGAATTCTCGCCATATGTGCTGCCCCAAGTGCGTCCACCTGGCAGAACGATCCGAAGAGTTGCCTCAAGCCGTGCCGATCAGAAGCACGGCCATGGGGATTGACAGATATTCCCCTCGTGTAGCCAAGCAGGTTAGACACATAATTCTGAGTTGTCGCATATTATCATGCTCTTGTATTTTGCAAATGCCAGGCAGGTCCCATCGTGCCTAATTATGCCATCTGTGAAGTTGCAGTGCTACACGCCCTCCCCTTGGAGCATTCTTGAGATCCAGCGATGCGCGCAAGGCAGCACAGTTTCTGTATATTGTGTAGGCATGTCTGGATATACTCTTCACTGGATACATATCACAGGGATTCCACATGTTGTCTCCCATGATTCGCTCTACGAGTTTCTAGCAAAGAGAATCGTTGCTGTGGTGGAGCTTACAGTTGGCCACCCACCATGCGACGAACCATCCGTTGAACTGTTGTCCCGCTTCTACATGCCACTTGACCCATACGGGGTGGCAGGAAAACCCGGGTGATGTACCAGGTCACCCGTGCTCGGTGTTCTCTCTCTTTGTGCATGTGCATGGTTGACACCGCGACACTTTGTCTTCAGGGATTTGCGCAGTAGGTGGAGGGGGAGGAGGAGGAAGATTATCATATGGGGGCGGAAAGTGTAATACCGAGGTAACTCCAAGCACGGCAGTCTTCCACGAGCCACCTGCATTTTTTGCACGCGTATTTCGACCTCTCCCTACTCTTTATCCTCAGTAGGTCTCTGTCATATCCTATCTCATTGTCATTATTGTGCTCCTTAGGTACCTCCTCCAATGCAGGTGGCGGGCGCTTACTCTGCGCCGTTTTTGGCCTCTGTCTGCTGCCTTTCTTTGTTGCTTGTCCTTGCCCGCAGCGCCCGCCACCTTCTTAAGTTGTTTGCTCCTTCGCCTAAGTCGGCGATTCTTTTTTCTGAACGTCACGAATAACGCAATGATCTCCGATCCATGTCTGCACAACGTCAAAAGGAGCAGGCGGAGGAGGATGGGAGGGGAGGGAGGGAGGGATGAGGAGGTCGAGGAGGACGAGGAGGAGGACGAGGATGAGGACGATGAGGAGGACGAGGAGGAGGAGGAGGAGGAGGAGGAGGAGGAGGAGGAGGAGGAGGAGGTGGATGAGGAGCAGGATTTTGACAGGACCCCGTGGGGAGGGCTTGCTTCCCCTTGCGGAGCGTCTTGCCCCCCGATGCGGCGATTGGGGGTCGATGCATCCCCTCCTCAGCCGATCCCCCCCCCAACGTTGCCCCTGACTGCCCCTCCCCCCCAGCGCGCGCGCCAAGACCCCGAACTGGTTCTGCCGGCGCAACTGCCGGCGGGCCGCGGCAGCCGCGGGCGCAGCGGAGAGCTGCCGGTGGTCCACCGCCGGCGGGCCGGCGGCGCCGGCGGCGTGCCGCCTCGACCCCCCCGCCGCCTCCTCTTCTGGAGGAGCACCCCCCGACATCTAGCGTATTGAACAACATACAACAAATATTAATCGTTTTCGGACTCCGGGGGTCTTCGCCGGGCCTGGGACCGTGAACAATGGACTTGGGATGAAAAACCGCCCCTGGGGAAAGGGTCGGGATTTCCGGGGATGCCGTGTCAGACCATCAAAACATCGGATGCCCAGAGCCAATACCTCCTTGTGGGAATTGCAAGAACATAGAACATAAGCCTGATGAGCACAATAGAAACCTCGGAGGATCGTAAGTGTTTAATGGGCGTTGCTCTCTGGCCCAGGCCCCAGCGCCCAACGCCGTTTTACCCAACCCCATTGCCCTGACCTCGCGGACGTCGCTTCCAGCCGTGGCCAAACACAGCGGACGTTACGACTTCTTATTGTGACAAAGACGGGGGTTCCAATCCCACCAGCCCTCTGGGCGTAGGTGGTCTAGGGAGGCTCCTTCCAACCCCCTTTGTCCCCTTCGGGGAAGGGTTTATCACTGTTCCCTATTAATATACACCCGTTCCCCAGGCGACCGGCAGCCCACCAGGAACAATGAGGACCCCATGAGGGCCACCCCCTCACAATCCCATTCAAAAAACAATACAAAGTACACTTTGGGGCAAAGTCTGGAGTCATGTTCGTTAGGCCCGCGAACACTTTGTATTGTTTTTTAAAAGGACGGCGGGGGTGTCAGGATATTGACTGCTGCGCGCAGGGCTGCCATCCCTGACAAAACAACAATACATAATGCACCTCGCGGCTAAATCTGGATCGTGCGCGGCCACCCTGTGATCACTGTCAAGTGGTGGCGTATGGCCTGCTGTGCGCAGGCCCACCAGACACAATGATGGGCATTGGTTTTCGATATGGGTAGTGGGGGCCGACATGTTTCCCGATGTGTGGCTGTCACGTGCGCAGGCGCACCTGACACACTCTGCACGTGCCCCGAACGTCGCGCACCTGGCGCGGTTGGAGTATGCGGCACACCTGAATCACGCGGAGGCACGTGGCGCATCTGGCGCACCAGGCGTGCCTGGCACGCTCGGGCACCAGGGGTGCATGGCGCGCCTGGCGCGCATGGCACGCGTGGCGCACCTCGCTCCAGCGTCGCGCACATGGGCTCGGTTTTGTTCCCAGTAGCTATCCATCCAAAGGCGACCGCTGAACATGCTGAGGCTCGGAGGTTACTTCTGTGTTGGGAGGGCGGGTGGGAGTGAGCTAGACGGCTTGCTATCTAGGAGGGTGTCTTGACCCCTCCCCTACCCCCTCCCCTGGACCTGGAGGGTGGGTGGGTTCGCGAGCGGTCAGGGCATCCAAGATGGCCCAAGACAGTTCTAGTAGGGCCTCAGAGAGCTCAGTATGACCTCTAAGATGGCACAAGATAGCCCAAGATGCTTCAATATGGCTCCCAAGGGGCTCCAAGAGGCCCCAAGACCGTTCCAAGACAGTTTCAAGTGGCCACGGAGCGTCTCACGGAGGCCGCCAAGAGGCCAATACCTTTCAACAACTAGAGGAAAATCAATGTTTCTTGCCTTCTCGCATTTTTGCTGTCGATGGCCTTCCGAGGTCTCACGACAGCTCCAAGAAGAGCTCCAGAGAGCCCCAAGAGAGGCCTGAGAGGGCCCCAAAACTGCCCCAAGAGCGCTCCAAGAGGGGTTCAAGAGTCGGTTCTAGGCACTCTAGAGGGGCAAGGCTAATTTAAGCTCCCCCCTTCTTTAATCGATATCCTCCAAGATGGCTCCAAGAGCGCCCCCAAGCCTCCCAAGAGCGCCCCAAGAGGGCCCAAAGAGGCGCCAAGGAGACCCCCAAGAAGCCTCAAAAGGCACCCCGATGTTCGCAAGAGGCCCCCGGGACCGCCGAGAGGCCCCCAAGATGCCCGAAGAAGCCCTCAAGCTCGCCATTGTCCTCCTCCTCCTCCTCCTCCTCCTCCTCCTCCTCCTCCTCCTCCTCCTCCTCTTGCTCCTCCTCTTCATCTGCCAATTTCTCCCCCTGCCTCCTCCCTCCTCCCCCTCCTCCCCCTCCTCCCCCTCCTCCCCTCCTCCTCCTCCTCCTCCTCCTCCTCCTCCTCCTCCTCCTCCTCCTCCTCCTCCTCCTCCTCCTCCTCCTCCTCCTCCTCTCTCTCTCTCTCTTATCCCCCTTCGTCCTTCTTCCCCGCCTTTCCTCATTCGGCAGGTCCGCGAAGGCGCATACGGTTCGCTCCTGGGTCTGCGCAGGATGATCCAAGACTTCAGTTTGACGGCTTCCCCAGCTCTTGATCCACTGCATGCTCCTCTGCTTCCCTGGTCAAGGCAACTCGTCTGTGGATGGGCTGGTGGGGATACTTTTTGGTTGCAGGCGCACGAAGCGGGTCGGACGCCGAGCAGGCAGGGGCAGGCTGTGCCTCCTGCGAAGGAAAGCACAGGGCAACGAGCGACGCAGGGTGAAGTGAAGCACAGGTGGTCGCAGCCGCAAGCGAAAGCGCAGGCGGCGAAAGGGGGCCCGGGGCACGGGCCAACCTAATTAGCTACTGAACGACACGCAAGCCGGCCGGGCCAGCACTCAGAAGCGGCGGCTGAGGTGCAGCTGCTGCTGGTGGAACTGGATGGGCTGATGGGGATACGCGAAGCGTCAAGACTTGCTTCCCAGGGTCATGCGCTATCGATCAAATTTAGAGTGGGCCTTATGGCTTTTTGATTCGTTAGGAGGTTTGAATGCTGGTTGGGTACCTGGCCGACTTGGGACGTCATTATTGCTGGTGGTGTGATGCTTGAATCTGAATGCGTCCTTGTCTGCCCAACCTTCAAGAGCGTCGCCCTGTTGACTCTCTCTCTCTCTCTCTCTCCCTTCGATAGGTCCGTGAGATCGAATGTTGCATTCGTCTCACAAGTCTTCACTCGCTGATTGCACTGGAAGTCGGGTGGTAGCATACTGTGCCGGAGTATTGTCGGTCTTGGCGTTGACCTTGGCACGTTGATTGCCTCGCGTCTTATTTTTCGTTTCGCGGGTGAGGCCGCTCCTGGGCGGCATGTGCCCGAACAGTGTACAGACGCTCTTTACCCATGCGGACATCATGGCTTGGACTGGTCCGACATTGCAGCCGTCCCAGCGACCACGTGGAGGCGAGCAGCGCGGGGCTGCGGCCAATCCCGCTGATGCGTCGCTGTTTTCCTTCTCCCTCTGTGCCTCCTCCTCTCCCCTTTCCTCTCAGGCAAGGACGAGGACGAGGAGGAGGACGAGGAGAGGGAGGAGGAGGAGGAGGAGCAGGAGAGGAGGAGGAGTAGGAAGGGGATGAAGAGGAGAGAGAGGAGGAGGGGGAGGAGGAGGAGGAGGAGGAGGAGGAGGAGGAGGAGGAGGAGGAGGAGGAGGAGGAGGAGGAGGAGGAGGAGGAGGAGAGGGAGGAGGAGGAGGAGGAGGAGGAGGAGGAGGAGGAGGAGGAGGAGGAGAGGGAATGGGAAGTGGAGGAGGATCGCTCCTCGTTGCTCTCCGCCCTGCTCCACTTCTTGGCAGCGGATGCGCGCTGCCCCCCCCCCCCCCCCGCCGGGCGCTTGGCCTGCGCCATCTGTGTTGCTCGCGTGCCTGGTCGGGGATTCCCTTCTCTCCCTCTCTCCTCCTCCTTCCTCCTCCTCCTCCTCCTCCTCCTCCTCCTCCTCCCCTCCTCTCCTCCTCCTCCTCCTCCCTCCTCCTCCTCCTTCCTCCTCCTCCTCCTCCTCCTCCTCCTCCTCCAGCGCCAGCCCGGAAAATCCCCGCGGACCTCCGAAAGTCTAGAAAGCCCATGTTCACCATGGGGAAAGGGGGTCGCGCAGGCGACCGCGGACCTCTCCAGCGAGTGCGGCAGACCATGGGGAAGAAGGTCGCGCAGCTACACCGCGTGCAACCCTGTAGGTTGCTGAGGCCCTTGCCCTTGACCTGGCGTTGGGCGGGCAGCGTGTCACAAGGACACGTTGAACCAGATTTTCTTGCCACCACATCTTGACTGTAGATCGCTCGCGCACTGCTGCCATCTGGGGCTCATTGGCGGAGTGACGAGCCCCACAAGCGAAAATAGTCTCAGCGCAATAACGGTTTTTTGCACCTTGAGATTGCCACGTCAGAACAACCGTGTTAGAGTTCTTCCACACTTCGGTATGAGGGGGAGGGGGTCCTGTCGGAAACGGGAACTGGGCCCCAGGACTTCCCCGATTCGCTCTTTCATCTCCCTGGACTCGGGAAGGGCCCCAGGAGCCCGAGACTGGCGAACTCCGCCAGAATGAGAAACCCGCCCCAGGGAAGGGTCGAGAAGCCTGGTCTCGACAAAGTCAGGCCGTCTGATGTCAGGCGGGGGGGGGGGAAGCGGAACTCCATGTTCGCGAGGGGCCGTACTTTTCTCTGCCAGAGGCGAAGCGCACCGCAGCCGTGCAAATACAGTGGTCATCTCCCGAACTGTCCCCGCCAACAGCTCGATCGTCGAGGGGTTCTCGCGGACGTCTGGTACACGGACAGCACCATCTGCGAGCCAGACTTCACAACCTGCTCTCCCCCGCTGACAAGCTCCCGCGCGTGTGTCTCCTCTCTTGCACTGCACTGTTGCCTCGCACCAGCAGTCCAGGGGTCGACCTTCGTGGGACCTTTTCTAAGCTTCTCGAGATAGACGAGTAGCAGTAGCAGAGGGGACGGGAGCAGGAAGTAAGAGCAGAGACAGAAGCGAAGAGCAGGACAACTGAGGCCAGCACAACGTTGGGTGAACTTCAATGTCAAGCCTGGTCCTAATCCACCGACGCTCGCAGATCACGGGGTACCATGCCCAGGGCAGGACCAAGCTTGGACACGTGGTGTTGATCATGCAAGTCTATGTTGGCACCATAGTAACACAATATTTCCGCGATGGCGAGCAATCCACATACAAGCCTGACAACACCACTGGTTGCAATGTCGAAGGCGACAGAAGGAAGGCGGTGACTGCGCTCGTGCCCTGTCCCGAGCTTGCCTCGCTCGCACCCCGCATCCACTGCTACCTCGGGATCACGAGGGGGAGGGCGAGTGGGAGTGACTTGGACTGAACTGGGACGCAGCCGGTCCAGGGCACAGGACGATGGACGAGGCTCCGACCTGCCCTGACGGAGGACGCCTGCGACCCTCTCGCGCCCGTCCGGGCGGAGGGCCCCGAGCCTGGGCGCCGCGGGCCGGAAGCAAGAAGCCGAGCGCAAGATCCTTGGGCGACCTGGGCGTGAGCACAGGGAGGTAGGACAAAGCAGGGTGTCTCGCGTAGAACGCCCCACCGACTCGGGGGGCATTATCCATGCTGCGGATCCCTGGCGTGCGCCTCACCAATAGCAACACCTCTGAACCAGGGCCAATGCAACGTGTGTGGGCGATGCTGCCGCATGATACCTGCTGCAGCACGCGACCAGCCGTTCGACACTGCAAGTCATGGCCAATACCTCACAAACCCTTCGGGACCTCGATGGTTGACAACTTCACCGCCTTGAGCATGCGGATCGAGTCCGGATGTCCGTGCGTGTGTGCGATGATGGCGCCGTCGTCCTCGTAGATGTCGATGCTGACTCTGGACAACGCGACCTCGGCTCTGCAAATGAAACAATGGCGAGACAGCATCGGTCGGCTTCGAACCGGGAACTTGGGTCGTCGCGAAATGCGCGACGGATCGGGCTGAGTCGGCACGGAGTCCAAACCGACTCGGATCGGCCGAGCCAGGATGCACAGCAGCGCCCATGCAACCATCGGGCCGCATCGGATCGTCGAGATGTCGGACCTGATCGGATCGAGCTGGCCAGAATCGATATCGATATCGGATCGATCGGGTCGAGATGGGCCCTGTGCGATTCCTGGCGTAAGCACGGCGTGACTGGGCGCATGTTGAGAGAGTGACGCCCGCCGTGAGGCAGCTCCTGCCGGGTATCTGTTCCTTTCGTGTCGTGCAGGGTGCGCGCCCGAGGCTGCGCGCGAGCATCGATGGACGGCCAGCCAGCCTGCGACAAACCGACAGATCCCCCCGCTCCGAGGCGTTGTGCCCTGGGGGGTCCCGCCCCTCTGCACAGAGAGTGCCCAGCGGTGCCCCGACCTGTGCTCCGGTTGCGTGCCGACGCATCCTGGCGGCGCCCCGATGACCGTCAGGCAGTTCCCCGCAACAGCGCAGCTTCTGCGCTGCTCGCACGTCAACTCCAGAGCCGGACACCGATCGCAGCGCTCTCGTCGTCTACGCGCAGGGGTGGCCCTGGGCAGACATGACCTCTGGTGCGCGGCTTCAGGGGGCCGCGAGGGGGCCAAATCCGAGCGCGGAAGCCAATGCGGGGGGGGACCTCCGTGGGTCCGCGCCACAGGTCACTCTGGCAGAGGGTCACTCTTCGCAGACAGAGCAAGTACCAATACACCGGTCGGACCATTCCATCAGCCTGCTGCTCCTGAGCGAATGATGGCAACAACTTTCGTTCAGCGAGCGACTGGGTAACACGCACAGGTTGACAGGCGACGTGCGTGTCACTTATACAACTTATCCCTCCCACACCCTTACGCGTAGCTGATCTCCAGACCAAAACAAACACTCGGGGGTGGACAACACCCCCTTTAGCAAAGCACGCTCTAGTGACAACGACTCGGGACCAGACCCGGCGGACGCAAACCCACACAATTGCGGCCGCAACGCCCTCTCGAAAACTGAAAAATTGCAACTCGCGAGCCGCCTTGGCAGGGAAGGGGGGAGGGGGAGGAGGAGCAGGAGGAGGAGGACGAGAAGGAGGAGGAGGAGGAGGAGGAGGAGGAGGAGGAGGAGGAGAAGGAGGAGGAGGAAGAAAAGGAGGAGGTGGTGGAGGAGGAGGGAGGAGAAGGAGGGAAGAGGGAGGAGGGAGGAGGAGGAGGAGAGTGCTGATGATGAAGATGCTGCTGATGATGCGGTGGCCTTGATGATGATGATGCTGATGATGATGATGATGATGCCTGGTCCATGGCCAAAGGTCTGCTAGTTGTGCGAGGGATTCCAGGCGGGGATCGATGCAACTGTCGGCCAACACCAGGTCAATCATTCTCGAGTGGGGTTCAGGAAAGGAGGGAAGACTTGAAAATAGATGCGCGGCCCGAGAGAGAGAGAGAGAGAGAGAGATATATAGAGAGAGCCACAAATAGCCGCGGGCAGCATCTTGTGGCCAGGTCCGTGGCCAGAGGTCTGCTATGTGTGCGAGGGGCGCCAGGCAGGGATCGATGTGCCGCTGTCGGCCAGCACCAAATACTATTGCTAGTCCACCCCAGTGGCTTATAGTCGCATGCATTAATTAAGATACCACACGCATGTAAGTAGTTTGGAAAGTATCGCACATTATCGAACATTTTTCGCCATTCTGTCACAGGCGAATCGCACAGCACAGAAAGGAAGATGAAGCGCAGCATTGCGCGCCTGCCTGTCGAGCGATGGGATGCCTAACTCGCCCAGGCGTCTTTTATCTGATCTACAGCGCCGCGAGGCAACAGGTGAGCATATCAAAGATAGGTGGCCAATATCTTTCACGTGCCAACAGACACGGCGAAATCTCTTGTTCGCACGGCCAGCATACATGCACGAATCGAAAGCAGCTTCCGAGGAGGCTTGTCTCACGAGGTCGGCGCAAGGCTTGCGGTGCCAGAGAAACGAAGCGTGTGAATGGCACAGGACACAGGCACCTTTCTACAGCTGCATTCAGACAGGATGCGCATGCACGAAGCGTGGAAAAGGTGGGCTATGGTCACAGCCCGAGCTCTGGCAGTAGTCAACGAGGGCAGGCCGCGGGGATACAGTTCGGACCGTAACGACGGTGAATGACGAAGAAGGGCGGCAATGTCGGGCTCGACCCACGCGCGCGATGTGCAACCATAGCGAAGCCGGCCTAACACTTGACGGCTCGCCACGGGGCCAGAGATGTCGTCGGCAGGGTGACATCTCGGGTCGAGGCGCAGAACGCCGAAGCCCGCCAGCTTCAAGGCGCGAGTCGTTTCTCCGCCGCAACCGCCAAGCACCAGCGCGGGGCAGTACCTGTGCTGCGTGGCTGCGCGCCTGGCGGACCGCCGCAGGCAAGTCAGGCGAAGGCCCGCCGCGCCGTGATCTGCGGAGGCGACGCCCTGACTGCCGGCGATGTCGGTGCCGCGGCCAGCGGCGCCTGCTGTGGGAAGACGCCCGTGGCCGTCGTCTGCAGGATCAGGTCCCGCAGCTTGTCGCCCACCTTCTCGCCGAACGTCGCGATGGCCTGCCCGAGGCTCGCGATGCGCTGCTGCGTCCGAGCCTGCCTGAATAGCGGAGGAGGCTCTGGTCCGTCCTCCAAAGGCGGCGATCCTTGACCTCCTTCCTGGTCCGCCTCAGCGACAGCAGGTCGTCGGACGCTCCCCCATGGCGAAGCGAGTGGAGCGTTAGCTCGGCCTCGAGCCCAAGGGCCGAGGCAGCGCGACGGAACATGCTGCGCACCTCGTCGGGGGCGAAGGTGCACGGGCTGTCGGTCGGGCCCTTGCCGTGGAGGAGCGCGTCCAGCAGCGGCCACAATTCCCGATTGTCGATGATGGCGCTCTCGTCCATCTCGCCCGTCATGCCAGTGCGGTTGGCGATCGCGTCGTTTGAGATCAAGGCCCAGTGGCCGTAGCCGTCGGCCCCGTCTGGGCGTCGACGTATCGCGCTCCCCGCCGCGAGGCGATCTGCCTCGCTCGGCCTCCGGTAGGTGTCGAACATCAGCCTTGCGAGCACCGCCATGCCGAAGAGCTTCCAGGAGACCGGGGCCCCGACGATGACCGCCATCGCTGCTCGAGGCAGAGGAAGGCGCATCTGGGGCGGCACCAGCTTCCGCCATCCTGTCAAGGCGCGAGCCGCGCGGGGGCACGGCGTCTTGACAACCAGGAGCGCGGGCAAGTGGTGCTTCGACGAGGCCATGAGGGCGCGGCCCGCGGCGCTGTCGAAGCCGTCCAGATAGAGGTTCACGAAGTAGGTGACAAATATAACATCGACCTCCACTGCCGTGGCGAAGACCCGGCCCGTCCAACGGCTCCACTCCTCGAACTTCTTGGCAGCCCCCCAGTAGTTGGCCACCGTCGCGCCCGAGACGGCCGCCGACTCCAGCGCCCGCAGGGCCCCGCCCATGGGCACCATGAGGCCAGGATGCGTCCTCACCCTCTGCTCCGCCAGATTGGTGGCTCGCTGCCGTCGGAGTTCTGAAGGTGCCCGCTTGGCCGCCCGCGCAGGGCGGGCCGACGAAGAGCCCCGTCTCGTCGGCGAGTCTGCAGCATTGCGGCCACTGGGAATCCACCGAATGGCGCGGCGGATCCCCGAGGCCGCCGAGAGGGCACAGGGGCGACGCAGTGGGTCGCGCAAGCCTCGAGCGTCAGAACGACCCTTGCCAGCGGCAGGTTCTAGAGCCAAGTTGTCGACGGCGAACGTGATGCGATGAGGGCGATGCCGTCCAGACCGAGCCGCATGTCGCGTCGCAGAGCCGAGCGCCTCCGCCTCGCATCGCAGGATGTCCTGCCCGAGCCTCGAATGACGCGAGCTGCGCATCGTGGCCCAGCCGTCGAAGGCCGTGGTCGCGCTGGGCACTTCGTCGACAACGTCGAACGACATCGCAGAGAATGACCCGTCGGAATCGAAGCTGACCGAGCCGTCCGAAATCGTCGTACATGAGTGATGTACCGATGATGGCGGTGACGAGGGGCTTCCTGGGCTCTCGAGGGGCCTCGGACAATTTCTGCAATCCCCGCGGCAGCTTTTGTCCATGACTGCTTCGAGAACGGTGCTGGGCTCGAGTCCGAGCGCATAGGCACGGGCCTGCAAGGCATCTGAAAAGCGATGGCGCCACCTCTCGGACAGGCGGCCAGCGGCCGAAACCATCACCTTCTCGACGATCTCGCGACATACTCCAATGCCGCAAGGCGAGGCAGCGCTGCCAAAGGCCGTCTGCTCCACTCGGCCCTGACGTCGGCCCACCGCAGCGGGATGAGGGCGGCAGTCTTCTCGCAACTCTGCGATGACCGAAGGCCGCAGCGGCGCGGCCACCCGAGTGCTCAGTGCCATGAGGCGGTGGACCGAGTCAAAAATCGACAGCGTGGGCCCGTTGGTGATCATGCCACACGCGCAATGGCCCGCCACCGCTGACACGGCCAGCGGCGACGCCGAGCCGCGCCTGAGGAGACCGAGGAGGGCCTGGCGCAGCCTGCACAGCCTGCACAGCCTGTCGCTCTTGCACCTAACGACGCCCGCATCGCCCAGGATGTGCAGGCCCGTGAAGGCCACGCGCTGGGCCGCGGCGGCCCAGTCCCCGACGGGTAGACCCCGTGACTCGAGAACTGCACAGGTTGCCTGGCAGGCTGCGGCAACCACCTCGGGGTCCATGGACGCGGGGGCGAAGATGTCGACGTAGCGTGCGGCGATGACGTCGCTCTCCTCCCGCGGCGGCGGAACGGCAGCCCCGTCGACCAGCGCGGGCCCCTCGTCGATGCCAGAGTCGAGGGTGGCCGAAGTGAAGGCCGACTGGCAGAGGCGGAAAGCCCGCGACTAACCCATCGGCATGTCGGCGGCGAACGGCTGCTTGTAGGGGCCCGCCCCGACGGGCACCCCG